ACAAGATTTGTAAAAAGGAACAGAGAGACCATGGAGCAGACCCACTGCACCACCCCAAAATACTGCTGTTGTTTTTTTACTAAATGCTAATGATATGGGTCGTATCTGAACATTTCGGTTTGTAGCCGGCAGAGGAATCCTACTCGGGCTGCTAAGCAAGGCACTTAACCCCAGCTGCTCCAGGGGCGCTGTATAAATAGCTGACCCTGCGCTCTGACCCCCAGCTTCTCTCCCTGTCTGTGTGTCTCATGGAGAGCAGGTTGGGAATGCGAAAAGACAAATTCTCGATACAAGAAATTTCTAAATTGCCAGTGATACGGCGCCCCTGGAGCAGCTGGGGTTAAGGGCCTTGCTCAGGGGCCCAACGGAGTAGGATTCCTCTGCCGGCCGCGGGATACGAACCGGCAGCCTTCCAGCCACAGGCGCAGATCCTTAGCCACAGAGCTACCGATCAGCTCAGTTCTGGCACTCAGAGAATATAAAATAGCTCTTTGTTGTGATACAAACAGCTGTTTTTCCTGGGGCTTCAGAGGGTTTCACTACATGCAGCTACGCAGCTATGACGGGTAAAATTTTTACCAAATACAAGCAGCAAAAGAAGGTACAGTGGGCACCAATCACAAGGCAGCAGTACCTATCCAGGTTCTTCCGTTTTCTGACCCGAGTATATTCTTAGTTGAAAAGTAACCAGAATTAAAACTGCCACTTTTCTTTCCAGGAATCACAACTACACACTTAATAAAAAAAGAGAAACTGGAAGCAGTTTTATAATAAAAACTTTTTTTTTTTTTACCGTTGGCTTCTTTTTTTTTTGAGAGAGAGAGAAATACATGACGCTGTAGCCAAGCTCACATCAACACTCTGCCTGCGCATCGACCAGGACTGAGTCTGGAGAAACTCCAGGGCGGGGGTCCCTGTGCAGATCACCATCAATGAACTGTTATAACTACATTTCATTATGTTCATCATTAAATCCCTGCACGGCTAGCGGCGCGTCATGTACCGGGTGTCCCCCCCGAACAATGAGTTTTCCCACACAAGGCCGAGGGGAGAGGGACCATCTTCATCCAGCACAGTCCCCACAGCAACCCCAGTACACGGCAGACCAGGCGCCGGAGGGAACAACAACTGGATTAACCACCGGAACGAGAGGGAGCTTTTAGGAGGGCCAGGTTGTGCAAACAAGGGGTGAGCAGCCCACTCTCCTGAACGGTGCCATCGGGGGCCTCAATCAACACGAGCCGCCTGGATGGACTTCTGCGTTTATCCTGAGGGCCCCCGGCCCCAGTCCTCAAGAGCCTCTGCCCAGCAGGCTTGATAGATCTCTCTAAATCGCCGGCTTATTAAGAGCGAGGACAGGTTTCAACGCGCCCAACTGAGACAATAACAAATTAAACGAGATAATTAGGGACTCGGACAGGATGAAAACCAGAAACCTTATGGTGGTCCTGGAGTGGAGTGGTGTCGCCCTGGTTTGACCACCTCGTGCACGGGGCGGCGGCAGTCGTCCGTGTGTCCAGTCCCCACACTGGGGCGCCACTCTGTAAATTCTGATCCAGAGTGAAGAGCACCACCTGCTGGTCCATCAGCGCCACCAACAGCAGCAGCCTTGCCTTCCTTAGTTTCTCCCTTCCCAGTGCTGACCAGACCCTGCCCTGCTCAGCTCAACCACAGGCTCTAGAAAAGGGGAGGCCAGTTGGCTGTTCTGGGTTACAAAAGCAATGCTAAACTATTGCAATTAGTTTGGCCATCTTGCCAGTGTACAGTTAATTAGTCTTTATACAGGAGGTTAAAAAATGAAATCACACGGCACGAGCTCACTGCTTATAAATGGCAGCGTCCCTGACTAGCTGGGAGAAGAGAATGGCGCAGTATGCGGAGAGGGCAGGTAACAGACAATAGACAAGGAAGAGAAATCTGACGTATAGACAAGGTCTCGTCTTGGCCCTTGAACATAATGTTTGTAGCTTGCACAACCATTCACCATTCCCGAGGCTAAACGTATCTGTAGTAACATAAAAGTCTTTATTGTGGAAGTGTAAGATAAAATAATGATTTACATGTTTTTTTCTTAATACTTTGCTGCATTTTTATAAGTAGTGATGCTATTCTGAGCCCATGTAGTGCGTGAGGCAGTGGACAGAGGTATTATTGTTACATGTTATTTCCTTGCCTTCATCAAGACAGAGCCACAATTTCTCGTCTACTGACAGTGTGCTGTTCAGCGAAATGAGTTTGCGCAAGTAGACAGGAGCGGTTTCCAGCTCTGTGTCCTGCGTTAAAACCTCCCTTTTGAGGCTAGGCTGTTCGACGATGTGACATTTTAGCCGAGACGCGGTTTATTACAATAATTGCTTGCATTTGCATAGCGCTTTGTACCCCAAACCACTTTGCATCCAGGAGAAGACCCAGTTGGTCCTCCCCTGAATTGTACCCCCTCCCTGCGTGACAGCAGCTGGCCATCACAGTCCCCCTGCAAAGCAGATCGGGCGCAGCACTCTAACGACCCACACTGCACCGACAGGTCTACACGGCACGATTCTGGCTTGTCTCATCAACGATTCAGGTGCTTTTCTCTCACCAAAGCATCATTCCCAATACTAAAGAAGAACGCACACCGATTGCCTCAGGTTTAGTGCGCAGGAGCCCCATTACATTGACACCGGAAAAGGAGAGGCACATCTCTCACCGATGTTGCTACAAGCCGGCAGGAGGCAGGGACGTCACTGGCGGCGATGTTCAGCACGGAGCAGAGGAGACCCCGGCCCCCCGGCAACTCCCAAACCCCCAAATCTAGCCCGACAGCACACAGCCCTGAGCGCACCCACACTTAGGGAATCCCACTCGCAATTGGCCCAGGTTCACCTGGGCTCAAGAGGGCACCAGCCTGTGCCCAGTGGAGCCATCTTTATCAGGGCCTCAGAAGCCCTATCGATCCAATCACAGTCTCCCTAAATTCGCACTTTACTCTTCACCGAAGGATCACGTAACAACATCTGACAACGGTAAAAGTAACCCGGGTAAGAACACAGTGTCTCGCAAAAGTATTCACCCACCTTGGACCTTTTCACATTTTATTGTGTTACAGCATGGAATCATGATGTATCCAACTGAGAATTTTTGCCACGCGTCAACACGAAGTGCTCTACAACGTCAAAGTGAAGAAAAAAAAAATCCAGGCTTCTTACTCAATTAATTAATTCAATTACAGCAAAAATTCTCAGTTAAGTACATCATGGTTCCATGCTGTAACACAATAAAATGTGAAGAAGCCCAAAGAGGGTGAAGACTTTTCCAAGGCACTGTACGTCTGTACCACTGAAAACACAAGGGGGCCCAAGCCTCCGAGAAGCTCAGCAACATCAGCCAAATGGGAGAGCACCCCTCCCTCCTTCCCCAAGGGTGCAGAGGAGCATGGCACTCAAGAGGAGGCTGACATCGGCCACTGCCCCCACGAACCCCTTTGGCTTGCCAACGAGTTTCGGCCCTCGGCACCTCCACCGGCGCTTAAGCATAAAGAGATTCTACGGGCTGCGTGTCGGTCCCCCTCTCGCTGCCCACAGCACTCGTGGGTGTACTCAAACAGCCTCTACCGCAGGCGTGGATGTTGGTACGCAGATACCGAAAAGAGCAGAGGAGAACGCTCAGAAACCAACTTCCGTCTCGGACGGACTCTTCATACAAACAAAGGCGGGCCGGGCTCACCCAGCTGCCTCGGCGGCCGGCCGGGTTTCACAAGGGAGGCCCTATGCACAGAGACGGGGGCTGAGAGCACGTTTTTGGCTACTGCCCGGGGGGCTCAGAGAGTGCTGGGGCTACAACTGCCGCGCAGCTGCTACAAACAGCCCATCAGACATTCCTATTCGGCGATCGATCCGTTTCTGAACGGCCGCCAGACGCCCTCCGTCTCGGGGGTGGGTAACCGCTCGGTGGCTTTGTGGCAAGAGCCCCCTGCGTCACACGGCGGCTGTATAAGGCGGTCTGTGTCCGAAACGAACTGGCCTGGGCAGGTAGGCCGCGGCACTGGACCCTGCAGGGACCCGGCCATCCCAGAAGGAATACCATTGGGTCTTCTTCAACACCGCCTCCAGAAAGTCTGCTGTAGAAGTTGCGGTCGGTACTGAAGACAGCAGGGCAGCGGTATTTCTTTCAATTTGGCTGTTGTGCACTACGATTTCAGAAAGCTGGCGTTTTCCTAGACTGAGATTCCGGGGTGCTGGATGGTAAACAAGAACTACCGACAGGTGAACCCCAGCAGGCACGGTGCATCCCAGGACCAATAGCAATTCAGTCCCACTACAGTACTGTACTCCAGGTTCAAGGGGGTTATAAACTGCTGAATCTGGTCGAGGAACTGATTTAGGTGGCTACTTTTGTTTTTCAAGCGAGCTTCCAAGACAGACAATCCCGATGTGAAAAGAATTACTCGTCAAAACCCTGAAAATGGACGAACCACGCGGATAATGTAACCACCCTTTCTCACCGACAAACTGACAACTGGGGGGGGGGAAAAAACCCGAAAAAACCGTAACGAGTGTTTTTTTTTTTAAGCCGAATCTTTCATCTGTGCAGTTAACCCCCTTTCCCCTCCTTGGAAAAACAATACCGCTTTAGCTTTGTATCATAACAAAAAAAAAAACGAAACACGTCCTGGCTTTAGCTTTTGCTGCACCACATCCACATCTTTTTTTAAAAAAAAACAAGAAATAATTTGCAGTCAAAAACAACAAGAATGTGGTCGAGCAAAAAAATCCAACCCCCCCCCCCAACAAACACAGCAAGCGACTAAATGTGCTCGTTACAGCAGACCGGCGTGTGTCGCTCCCCCCAGCAACCCTAATGACCGTGTTTGACTATGGATAAGTTATATATGCCTGCGACACTCGCGTTACAGACAGACAGACAGACAGAGAGGTAGATGGGAGACGCACAAGACAACACAACTTTTTTTTTTTTTTAGGTTGACAAAACGTCCAGCAGGAAAACTCTCCGTTTCTTACCGGGGAACTTCCGGGATGCCGGCAGCGGAGGGGGGCTGGCGGAAGAGCGACTGCCGCTCGGCGCGGGCGGTTTCAAGCCGCCCTTACTGGGGAATTACTGTGGACCAGAAAGGTCTTTCCAACAGGCTCGGAAGGGAGAGGGGAGGGAGAGGCCGCGCAGGCCGGCCCCGATACCTGTAAAAGC